CGCAGTTCTCCGTCCCGGGCCAATGGGGGCGGCGGGAAGCGGCGCGGGCCGAGGGATGTGCTGGCTGCGGTTTCCCGCCGCCCCCATTGGCCCGGGACGGAGAACTGCGGCCAGTGGGGGCCGTGATCGGCCGAACCTGCCACGTCAGCAGGTAAATAAACTGGCCCGGCCCGCTAGGGTGCTTACCCTGGCGAGCCGCGTGCCAAACGTTGCCGACCCCTGATCTAACTCTTAGGAACTTTTTTCCAAATATTTGTCCTCAATGTTCACTTTATCACTTTCATCCCATTGTTCCCTTTTGTATTTTCACTTTTTTCTTCATATATCACCCTTCAAATATATTTGAAAGTTGTTATATTCCTTCAATACTTTTTAGCCAAGATTTACAATATTCGTATTTTTAATCTTTCCTCATAAATCAATCACTCCTTCCTCTTAAATTTTAATTGCTCCTTTCTGGATTATTTACAATGTCAAAATGTTTTGTGGCATTGGGATATGCAAAAGTCTACCCATTATTTAGGAGCTGTACCATCATCAGTGTGTAAATAGGGAGTATTGTCTCACGGGCTTGTAACATGATGCCTCTGGAAGCAGTCCAAAAGCAAGGTAGCTTTTTTTAAGTGAAGCAAAAATATTAAGCCCTAATAGTTTTGAGTTTTGCAGTTACACCATAATTGTAAAGACATCTTTTGTTCTGAGTTCATAGTCTATCAATATGGAAATTATTATTTGACAGAAGATTACAGTTAATTCATCAAAATGGATGTTGATGTTACATTGTCAGACTTTTAGTAGTAGCTTGGATCCATATATTGTCAAACATTCATAATATTTTGGATCCATATAATGTGGACTATCTATTGTCAGCATGTTGTATTGCAATTTTAAAAGAGCAGTTCTAGAAGGTGCAATGTGCTCACCAAATGAAATACACCATTTTACAATAGTCTCCTTTGGTATTTGACAGAAATTATAAATTTCCAATCCTATTCCATCCTTAAACATGTAAAATGCTTATTATATACAGTTGGCTAAAATGATTGTTAGATGGTTATATTTAAAATACACATAGTAAAAATATATAAAAAGCAGCAACATTTAATGTAATCTTAAAGAGATGAGCCAATGAAACTTGTAAGTACTATGGGCTAGATTTTTAAAGGTATTTAGGTGTCTAACGATGTAGACAGACACCTAGTGAGATTTTTTTCAAAAGTTTCTAGGCATCTAACTGCCATTGACTTCAGGTTCAGAGATCCTTTTTGAAATTTGGCTGTATGTATTAGTAAGGCTAATATTTTGTCACAGATATTTTTAGTAATAGTCAGGGACAGGTCACGGGCAATAAAAATAATAAAAAAAAAATCACGGAAGCCAGTGACCTGTCTGTGACTTTTACTAAAAATAGCCATGGCAAATGGGGAGCTCAAATGCAGGGTCTGCACTGTGCCCACAGAGGCTGGGCAGCTTCAGGGTCCCGCTCCGAGCGGGCCCCCACTGTCCACAGCAACCAGGAACTCCCAGGATCCCCTTGATACCCACATAGCTCAGAGCTCTGGGGTACCCCCCCAGGCAGCAGGGGTACCCCGCAGCTCCCCACCGCTGCGAGCTGCTCGGGCTGAATTCACGGAGGTCGCTGGAAATCACTGATTCTGTGACTTCTGGGACCTCCGTGAAAAAATCGTAGCCTTATGTATTAGTATTAAGCAATGTAATTGTTTTTCCTATACAATATAAAACCCAAAATATAATGAAAAATTTCTATCTTGTTCTGTTTGCCACTTTGTTAATGTGACAGACAATACAAGAATTTAATAATAAAATTGCTTTAATATGCCTGTTTGTTTGCAGGAATTCCAATCAGAACAACCCTAGATAACTCTACAACAGTACAATATGCAGGTCTTCTTCATCAGCTCACAATGAAAGCGAGGAGCACAGTGAGAGATATAGATCCTCAGAATGATCTAACCTTTCTGCGGATCAGATCAAAGAAACATGAAATCATGGTAGCCCCAGGTAATTTAAGATTTCTATTCTTAAAATATTGTTAAAATTTCTCAAAGCACAAAGCTACTGTAGAACAGGTATATGATATATGAAAACAAAAGTATAAGAGGTAACTTCTTGCTTTTGCTATAAGTCCTTTACATTTGGATAGGGTGCACATAATATTGTTCACTTCTTTTGTCTACATAGACAGCTACACTAGCATCTTGATGCATAAGGATTATAGTATACAAGACTTGAGCAAGAAGATAAGACCAGATCTCACAGAAATGTAGGTCTAAGGGACCTCAAGAAGTCATCAAATCCAGCCTCCTGCACTTAGGCTGGACCAAGTATCCCTGACAACTGTTTGTCCAACCTGTTCTTAAAAACCTCCAGTGACTGGGATACCCAAACCTCCCTTGGAAGCCTATTCCAGAGCTTAACTACCCTTATAATTATGTAGTTTTTCCTAATAGCTAACCTAAATCTCCCTGGCTGCAAATTAAGCCCCTTACTTCTTGTCCTATCATCAGTGGACATGGATAAATATTGCTCACTCTTCCCTTTTTAACAGCCTTTAACACATTTTGAAGACTTATCAGTTCTCCCCTCAGTCTTCTTTTCTCAAGACTAACCATGACCAGTTTTTTTAACCTTTCCTCATAGGTCAGATTTTCTAAACAATTATTTTTTTTCTCTCCCCTGGACTTTCTTCAATTTGTTCACATCTTTCCTAAGCTGCAGTGCCCAGAACTGGACACAGTACTACAGTGGAAGCTTCACCAATGCTGAGTAGAATGGGACAGTCACTTCGTGTATCTTATTTACAACACTCCCGTTGGAGCTAATTAGCTTTTAGTAAACATGGCAAATGTGTTCACTTTTTTCACAACAAATACCAAACGAACCACTAATGATCATCCATCTATTGTTTCTAAGAACAGATTTTTCACTTGATACTGTACAGTATGTACCAAGCTTCTCGTTGTTCATAAGAGGGTTTCTTTTACAATATAGTAGGTCATTGATCACACACAGGTAGTATTAGCACCATTAATATAACAATTATGATTGAATTACTTATTTGTCAATAAGATAAACTTGTCTAAAACTATGTATTTGTCTTGTTCATCTTAAGTACAAATGTTTTGGATTTGCTTTGGGTTGTTTCCCTTAATTAATATGGATAAGGGGCCAGATCCTTAGCTATGGCCAAGGAGCATACACCACAAATTGAGGCAGCCGGAATGGGGAGTGCAAAGGTGCTGTGACACTGGGCGTGTGCTAGACTGGTACCCCAGCATATATTTTGCTGGCTGCCAACCACCCCAATGGGTAAAAATACCAGCTGAAAATGTGTAGGGTATAAAGAAGACCCAACCATGCCCCTAATGTTGTCAGTAGGGAGGGAGATGGCATTGGATTCACTATACTTGTATCGCCATAATACCCCTTTCACTGAGGTAATCCTCACAGTGCCAGATATACTGATTCTGTCGTCAGATTCCACTGGCAGCACAGTGCAAAGTGGCTGCACTGATGCCACTGATCTCACTGTTCCTACTAGCAATCATAAGTAACTCCCGTGAAGACAATACAGTTACATTGGTGTAAAACCAATATAATCAGAATTGGGCCCTATTACTTTAAGTGATAGCAATTAGTTGACAATTAATAGTAAAAGACTGAAATCATTTTTGTCCAGTATGTTGTAAGGCAGGGGTCGGCAACGTTCGGCACGTGGCTCGCCAGGGTAAGCACCCTAGCGGGCCGGGCCAGTTTACTTACCTGCTGACGCGGCAGGTTCGGCCGATCACAGCCCCCACTCGCCGCGGCTCGCCATCCCGGGCCAATGGGGGCGGCGGGAAGCGGCGCAGGCCGAGGGATGTGCTGGCCGCGGCTTCCCGCCGCCCCCATTGGCCCAGGCTGGCAAACCCCGCGACCAGTGGGGGCCGCGATCGGCCGAACCTGCCGCGTCAGCAGGTAAATAAACTGGCCCGGCCCGCTAAGGTGCTTACCCTGGCGAGCCCCGTGCCGAACATTGTCGACCCGTTTTAGGGTATAAATTAAAAAGTTCCTTTCTGTTAAGATAGGAATAAATCAATCAGGGCAAACTACCAGTAGCCAGATGTTAATATTTCTGTAATATTTTAATTGTTCTTTTTTCTTGATGATTTTGATTAAAATATTCTTGTCTCTCTTCACAGATAAGGAGTATCTTCTAATTGTTATTCAGAACCCATGTGAATAGACTTGCCGCAACAATATTTTTAGAGACACCAATGCAGCTGTACTTTTTAAAGTAATAATCCTTTATTGATATTTATTTTCAAACATACCACTAAGTTCTTACATAATGTATGTAACTTGTCATTGCTGAAACTTTTCCGAGCTAATATTCTCAGTTGTTGCTGTACTTTAACTTATGCTTGAGCAAAACAAACATTGTATGTGTAGATAAATACTCAGAAGAGCAACAATAGAACAAAATATTTAAAAAACTTTTGTTAATGGATTTTCTGGCTAATTCTTGTAACTAAAGAATTCTCTTTACATCACAAGTTTAGATTTTTTTTTTTAAACAGCAATCACATTTCATGGAAATTAGTAACTTGTGTATGTACTTGTAACTGTACCCATATAAACTCAAGAATACAGGGTTAAATAGGTTACTAATCTCAGTTCCATTGGGGTAAAGAGGACTGTGTTCTGTCTCTGTAATTTCTGCATTTTGATCATTCTAAAGAAATAATTTTACTTCCACCTTATGCTATCTTAAGTGCCCTTCAGTTTCTAACGAACAAATGAATCACAACAGCTTCAGTTAAATATTTTAAAGCTAATGCTGAAGAAAGGTCTAGATGAAGAAAATGGCCCTTCCACCTTGAATTAATGCAAAACTGTTATTAATTTGTGTTTACTGGCAATTCAAAATAGTGCCTCTAAGTAAACTCATCAGAACTCTTGATAAAACACTCAAATGTGTCTACCTTCAGATCCAGCATGTACTGAATACAGCGAGCCATTTCTTCCAGCATATTTTGCAACACTGCCACAGATCTTGCAGTTCTCTCCAAAATTGGAAACCTGTTCAGACCATTGTTTTAAATCAGACACTTAAAGTGTATGTAGATTTTCACGTTACTAATGATTCTTTAATTTTAAAGTAGAAACTTTTCCAGCATCACTAGGTCAAGAACAGGTTTTTTTTAATGCTGATATTTCATCATAGGGCAGGGGGTGGGAACAATCTGGAAATTGGGAGAAGAAAAAATAAGTGGTAGGAAGTCTGGCTAAAGAGACCCAGGGAGAAAATGAATCCAGTTGCTTGGGAATAATAGAAGCCAAAGGGGTGGTTATGGATGGTACAGCCACAGTATCATACCTGCTTGCTGGGTGACCGTTGAAAATATGAATGGCTGTCATGAAAAGGACCATTACATGGAAATAAATATAGCAAATCAATATCTTTACATATTGAAGTAAAATAAAGCAGAGCATATGTTTGAACATTAGTAATGTACTCTATGCTGTACAAGAAAACACTCCCTACTTCCTATAGTCTTTCATCTAAATTATTAACTCTAAATTATTTAAAATGACAACAGTTCATTAGTGAATGTTGGCAAATATGGCCATACTGTACTGAAACTAAGTTTTCCATTTATCAACTTCCCTAGTTCTGCGGTACTAATGCTTCTTAACAGTAAACCAGTCATTGTCAAATGTCTAACTTTTATTCTATAAAAAAAATACTTTGGCATTTTGTGGGATATCCTGTGTAACAAGTCAAAGTCAGTGTGTCTGGCTTTCCTTTCACTCTAGTTAGCATCTGGACTAATTCTACTGAAATTGACAGTCACAGCAGTGTTGAAGGAAGGAGATTTAGCCCCATTCTTCTTATTTGTCTATTTTAGATTAATTTTCTTTTTTGTTCACAAATAACTAAATTAATATCCCATATATTGTTTTTGCATTATATTACTCCAGCAAAATGCTGAAGTATTTTTGGCATGGCATCACCTCTTAACAACTTCCAGCGCCATGAAAAATGTCCTTCAGTCAGACACGGCAGTACTCTCGTGCATAGAGAAAAGCTTTGTACATGGCAATATTTGTTCTTCACTTTTTTTTTAATCTTTCTTTTGTGTGGGTAAATTTCTTTTCCAGACTTTAATCTGATATTATTGAAGCAACTGATGATCACTTTGGTTTGGGTCCCAATTTATCAAAGCACTTGAAGGGGTTAAGTTCATCCCTATTCAATAGTGTACTTAAGTTCAAAGTTACATTTAAGCATGGATTTAAGGCCAGTTGAAATTAGACTTAAGCCCATGTTCAAAAGTAAGCACAGACTTAATTGCCAAAAAGAGGCTTCAATGTACAGAAATGGCCTATAAGTCATTATATGCAATCTTCAAATGTCCAAATAATGCCCACAAATTCATTCCCATCACAACTCATGTTAGAAGCCCTGGGAGTCATGGATGCAGATCTGAGGGCAAAGTCTTGTCTACTGTTGGCTGTGTAACCAGTGACAATTGCAGTGAAACTGCAGGCTGAGTTCTGTTCCTTAGTGTACTGTAGAGTCTTTACCAAGGCTCCTTACAAGCTGTGCAAGTATATGCAGTATTAGCAACATCCTCATTACAGAAGATAAATATATAATGAAATATCCTGCCATTGGTATTTCTATTAGAAAAGCTACTGGATAGCTGTGGTTTTTCAACAGACAAAGGTAAAAATTGTGTGAGTATCCATAATCTCAATGGAATCTGCTGTCAGCAGATTCATCTGAACAAAGGTGGGCAGTAATAGAAGGAAAAGCAGAATCAAAGAATGAGAAAGTAATTTTAAAATTACAGTACGAAACTACACCTCTACCCCGATATAACGCGGACCTGGGGAGCCAAAAATCCCTACCGTGTTATAGGTGAAATGCCGTTATATCGGGGTAGCGATGGCAGGGCTCCAGCGGTGATTTAAAGGGCCTGGGGCTCCCCGCAGCAGCCGGAGCCCCAGGCCCTTTAAATCACTGGGGAGCCCCGCTGCCGCAGCGGCAGGGTTCCAGCGGTGATTTAAAGAGCTCCGGGCTCCGGCCGCTACGGGGAGCCTAGGCCCTTTAAATCGTCATCCAAGCCCCGCTGCCGCAGCCTCGGGGTAGCAGCGGCAGGGCTCCAGCGGTGATTCAAAGGGCCTGGGGCTCCCTTTAAAGCGCCGCCGGAGCCCCAATGCTACCACGCTATATGCGAACCCGTGTTATATCTGGTCACTTTATAGCAGGGTAGAGGTGTATTACTTAAGACTGCTCAGGCTATGGTGAAGTTGGTGTTTATGTGATAGAACCACCAGTGTAATCTCTACCAGCCAATTGTATTTAGAATCCTGATAACATTTAAACAGGAGAAAAAGATAATTTCAGTGACATCCATGGTATTCTTTAAAACACTAATTTTATGGATAATCATTGGCTGATGGACTAAACTAGCATGTTCTGAGTTAATCAAAATGCTGCTTTTCTCTGAGCAACAATCACTCTAGTGTTCCAACATCCATCTGACAAAATGATATCAACATCACACATTTGGGATGATAAAAATAAACTCTTTTAATTGCAATAGAAATCTGTCACCGGATCATTCTCCCACTTTAAAAATACAGTAAACATCTTGGCTTTGCCTCAACATTTATTTTTGACTAATATATAAGCTCTCCTGAGACACCACCTAGTGCCAGTCATCTGTCCCATTTACAATAATAATGCAAGCCAGTTGTTTATCCGCTTCAGGTTTTGCTTATCTGCCACTTAGCATGAACATCTTTGATCAATATATTTGCATATTGTAGTTTGTTACAAAGTGGGCTGTGGGCATGCGTAATTCAGCTGGATGAGATATGCACTTAATGAGTTAGTGTACATTACATTCTGCATGTAGAAATATTCAGGTCACACATTTTTCAAATGTACTTTCAGCTAACATGAGTAAAGCATTGTTAGAATTCTTCTTTAGGAATCGATGAACGAATGATTCACAAATTCCCTACAAGTGACAAAAAGTACATGATCTAATTGATTGTCATCTGATTTGTCACCACTGCAGATCTGTAGGAATTTACAAGTCACCCCTCTTGCCAAAACAAAAACAGTGCATCTTTATGCTACAGAAGATTTTTAAAAGGCATTTAGTAGTGTAAAAGAGGGTATTAAATATTCAGTCACAGCAGGCTAAAAGGTCCCATATTTGCTAACAGAATTGAGTGTGTTTATAGATCATATAGAAAGCACCAAAAACATAAATTGGAATTCCCCTAACTCAATAATATTTCAGTGCCAGTGACTAAGGTTTCAGATCTTCGTTTTTTGTTATGTGTTACTAATACTCACCAGCCTAAATCCCAGTGAAAAAAATTTCACGTGTGCTGAAGATATCTCTCTTATAAGCACACAAATTAGAACTCTTCAGAAAGCTTGCTTTTAACATCAGTTCTGTATAGTGTTCTCTTATTTCACATCCTGCTGTAAATTTCACCTAACAAGGTGAGCTATTTGGACAACACCAGATTCCCTGAAGGGACATTGTCTGATCATAAATATTAATAATAATGAACTTGAAAAGGCCAGCTTAATAAAATACCTGAAAATGCAATTAGACACCATTACTATTACTGCCAAGAGTTATGCACCTGGTTTCAATGTTACATGGCAACAGCAGCATTTTCAGTCGATGTAGGCTTTCCCTAATTCAGGGACAAGTCCTGCCTCTATTACGTGCATCAGTAGTCCCTAACAGCAGATATAGCTGCTGGACTGGCCCCATAGAAAAAAAACAGACTATAAAATATACTGGTGGTTGCCCTTTTACTATGTTCTGTTATTGTCTAGAGATTGGTATTACCTGGGCTGCAAAATAATTTTTGGAATCTCAGGCAGTCAAATTAGAGGAGTCATCAGTAGTACAACAATTTTTGTTCTCTTTTCCTGGACAAATTAAAACACACAGTTGTATCGGTTACTAGAGAGGTTTAGGTCACAACAACAAGGCTCAGTTGTATGACTTTGCCGTGGCCTTGGGAGCAAGGGTGACAAATACTCTTGCGAGATTGCATTGGGTGTTTCACACCTCACTTGATGATTTGGAGCCCTTCTTGAATCATACCATGGATATTTTTCAAAGAAAATCAGCATTTGGCTTGATTCACCTTTCACTTGCATTGGTTCTGCACCATTGATTTCAATGGAATTATCCTCAATTTACTAGTGGGGAGGGAGGCCACTCTGCCTCTTGTATTGGGTGGTAACCCTCGGGTTGCACTGGCGGGGCTGAGTTGTAAGTGGTCTATAGGTCTGGGTCCATCTAACAGGCAAACAAGAAATAATAGTCGGGTGCTCATGTTCCCACCCTTGGGCGGAGCAGAGCACGGAGGAGTCTAGCTTGCAGACCCTCAGCTGCGGTCAGTACTTAACAGTTTGGAGCTCTAGTCCTTTGAGCAGGGCCGAGCAGAGAGCAGGCTGTAGCCTAAGCCTCCTGGCCAAGACAGCCAGGTAACACACGGACAGTCTGGGGCTCTAGCCCTTTGGGTGGGGCAAAGCTTTAGCCTCAGCTTATGGGCCAAGGCAGCCAGCAAACACACACAGTCTGAAGCTCTAG